TTAGATAACGGATGAATGACTGGATGACCTTAGCTGGTTTCAGCACGCTAATTTGCCAAAGCATCATTGCACCTTGGATTCTTTGTGACAGACTGACACCAAGTAATACATAATTGTGAAAGATAAGAGAGAGTAATCTATGGTTTAATTTTTATAACTAAATGTCTGATGATTGTGGTTTGCATATGAATGCAGCTACTGATTTAATTCCATAAGAGAAAAGCAAGTGTTGTGTGTATATATATATACACACAACACTTGCTATATATACACACAACACTTGCTTTTCTCTTATGGAATTTTGTGGGTTCTTCTGGAAAAAAGACAGGTGGCTCAGTATTGATGTTTGGAATTTCACTGGGACATGGGCCTTCAGGACTGGACAGTTTGCTCATAGCACAGTGTGTGTTGTGAACAATCTCTGTGGTATGTGCCCCGCCTTAAGAAAACACTCCTTTGACAATAAGCAACACAACTCCTTCAGCCAGTCCTGTCAGGTTTCAGGTTGTTTGTTGTTTTGGTAAGTTCCACGTTGCATTGTAAAATAGTTTGTATTTTTCAGAGATGGAAGGGTTTTTATGTGATCACAAAACTTTGCCATATCCTCTAACATAAAACATTTGATCTAGTAAGAATGTGCATTGAGTAAAACCTGAAGGAGGAAAGATGTAAAATGACAAAAAGTAAAAGAGAGATTTTTTTTTTTTTTTTTACGTTTTTGAGGGGAAAGAACACATTTTTTTTCACATTGAGAAAATTACTTAGATTCTCTATAAGATTACAAAGTACTTTATAAAATAATATAGACCATTCTTGTGAGACAGGCATGTATCAGGTCCTAAACAAATATAAGCTAGAATGCCTGTCTTGCTCGGATTTCAATCTAAAAATAAAAGTAAAAATATTTTAGCTCTGTAAGGTTATATTTGTTTTCTTTTAAGAAGACTAAATCTTTTTATGTTTTCGATGTATTAAGATACATAATTTTATTTCGATGTAATGTAAATTTCATGTCTGAAGACCAGCAGATTAATTTTGTTCCCTATAAAACCAAATATTTAGTATGAAGTAAAATAAAATTAAAAATGCTTAATTTCCCAATTTCACTCTATTTAGGATTTTTGTTTAAAAGCTAGATTCAATACATTGGATGCCATCCTTTAAGAATCTCAGTAGAAGTTATGCTATAAACTTCTGAAAATTTTGAAATACCAAAATTATTTATGTATTTTTTTTTATTTTTTTTTGCATTTTTGAGTCTCAATACACCACCTGTTTGACAGTCTGTGCAAATAGAAAAAAGAAAGATAAGATAGATCTTCTCTTAGTAACTTAGTATTTCTTGATGTGTTCTCTGTGTTTTGCCCTGAGGCGCTAAAGGCTTTTCAGTTCATAAATGCATGTCTGAAATTGCATCCCTATGACAACGTTCACATGAGCAGGATGAAGGAGCTGCTTGTCTTTGTCTGCCACACACTGAGCTGCCTCCAGTCCTCGTCGCTGTACCAGCAGAGCCTCACTGGAGCCTGGGAACCAGTATGTGGACCCCTCTGAGGCCCCCTGCTGGTACGACACGGTGCCTCCACAAGACTCGTGGGCGCTTGCAGTGTGATCAGGAGGTGAGCGGATATAAATGGCTGCATGCCACGGCCACTGAGATTATGAAAGGTTGATCCTGCTAAAAGCTTCTAATTTGTCACAGACTGAATGGCATTAGCAACCAGAAGAGCATAGATGGAGAAAATAAAGATGAAAGTCATGATGAAGTAACAACCAAAATGATCTTGCGTTTTAAAGTGAGGCTATTAAAGTTTGGTAAATTAGCTGTCGCTCAAACCAAAGGCAGAAACAACAAATAAGAGTGGATTCTAAAATCTGTTTTCATGACTAAATTACAACCGATTTCTTTACAGTGCACATCCTAATCTCAGTCACATTAGTTGGTCGGGTCATTATTTAAGGTCAAAAAGGGAAAGTAAAGCTCAGTCATGTTAAACTTGCTTTTAAGTTTATAAATCTTGCCAAAGTAATTTTGATTTTGAAAAAAAATAACATATGTTGGAAAAACATCTCAAATGAAATCTGTGTAAATGAGTTTGAGGACATTTTATTACAGCTTTTGGAAAAAAAAACATAAAAAAAAAACATTGTTCACATCATGTCATGTATTGAGCTATTAATATTTTTACATATTGCACAACAAAAAATATTTTATATTATGGACATCTGACAATTACAAGGCCTTGTAATGTTCAATAACAATTAAATGTGATTCCCATTTCTTCCAAAATGTTGAAACTTTTAGTAAAATTTAATACAGGTTTATATTTGATATGTGATTTTTTGCTGACTAACAAGGCATATTCAAAAAAAGAAAAATAAATTCTCCAGCATACATTCTTTTTCACTACAAATTGAAAATGAATGAAGACAAGGTACAACATGTAACATTTTACAAAAATATATTTTATTCTGGCTGCCTTTCTGTATCTAAATACTGAGAAGTATTGTAAATTTAAACAGCACAGACCCTGGGTATGAAAATAAAATCATAATAGGAATCAGAATGAATAGGAATGTTTCTTCCTTCTGAAAAAAACAAGAAACCTTTAGTGATTGTTGACAAAACATTGCTAAGGTCATGCCTGATGTCCAGCAAGGTATTTAATTTTAATCATATTTGGTTAATTAATAAATACACAAAATTTCCAGTGGGCTTTAACTCTTGTTATTCAGTGCTGTTTGATGACATATACTAGTTTAATGTTCTAACGTTGGTTTTAGCATAAACAAAAGTGCATAGAAAGATTGAAGGTCTTCTTGTTTCTATGTGTTAAATCCACTGTACTTGTTATTTGGAAGGCAGCCTCTTTTGCACTGTACATTAGTATGGATGAGCAGAGCAGGGTGGGGTTGTTTTCAGGATAGCTCAACAGATTTCACCACTGACTCTCATTGCAAAGCTCAGCAAAGGCTGTTTTCTGTATTCAGGCTCCCTGGCTCTGCTTTCAGCTCTTCCTTGTTTCCTGATCTAACAACTCTTCATCTCCTTGAGGAGATGAAGGTTGATCCAAGGCTTGTTAATGGAGAAACGCCACATCTTCATGAGGGCCACAGTGTTGTCCACACATACCTTAATGTGGGTAGTGATGCAGTCTGTGATGCTGTCATTGTCCTCTCCATGATGAGCACTAAGCTCTGTACTGTTAGATTATTCAGAGCTTATTGATGGTGCACCAATGGGATATAAGTTATGTGCGTGATTTGCTTCATAGACCGCAAACTGAAAGACAGAAGAGAGTCTGATAAATCTGTCATCGACTGTCCGTCTCACATCACTTCCCCGAGCAGCATGCTGCACAGACAGATAAGAATAAAAGTGAAACAGCCCAGGGGTGACTGTACATTATGTATGGGGAGGCAGAACAGGGTCATCTGTATTATTTATAAAAGGTATCAAAAGGCAATACCTACAGAATACCATGAAGATGGATATGTGATGCTGAGAAAAGGTGGCTATAAAAACATGGCTCTCCCCCAAACTGCCAGTTTAGCCATATGTTGGTAGGTTTTCAGTTTGCAGCTGTTTGTTCACTAATGTCCTCTAACAGACATCTGATGTCTTCAAAGAAAAGCTTCATTAATACTGATATTGAATTACACAGGTGGACTCTGTCTCCCTCCGCAGGTGAAAATTTCAAAGGCAACTGAGGGCAGTGGATGTTATTTAGGACTGACCGAGTCAAGGTGCCTGAATTTGGATGCATGTCGGGCTTTAAGATTTAATTTGAATAAAATAAAATAAATAGTCAAATTTAATCAAATTTGACTCGTTAAAATCATTCTTTCCCTTCATGAGTAGTCATCACTTTGTTATAATCACATAATACATTTATTTTGCAGAATGTAACAAAATGTGAAAAATTCCAGGGTGTTAGCTCTTCAGCAAGGGAGCCAACATATTGACCAAAGCTACCGACGGTAACCTACCGTGGCTGTTTGAGGTGAACACAATGCAGCACAACATTTCTGAACTGTTTTGCTGGCGGACACAGATGAGTTCCACCAAACCAATAAGTAACTTTGGAGTTTAGATTCTCAGAATGTAAAGTTATGGTTCCTATCTGAGCCTGTGAGAACCACAAGATCAGAGAAATGTTTTGTATTTTTGAGAAAGTCAGACGTTTCAGGTTTCAAAGTAAGAATGGTCTTAAAAATATGTGTAATCCCTTGCTGCAATCTGTGATCCCTATAGTGACTACTAGTGTTTCATCTTCTTTGCACTGCAGCAGAAAAAAAGCAGAAATACACGAGCCTCCTGTTTTAGAAGCAGTTTTAATGAGATCTACGAGGTAGTGCAGTTTTCTTTTGTTGTAAGAAGTTATAATGGTTCTTCCTCTACTCGTTGCAGTAGAGGAAGCTGTGCATGATTCCTGACTGAAAGGAAATGAGTTGAAATTTTGTCTTGACAGTCATGGGTCAGTGACCAAGGGAGTTCTCCTAATCCCTCTGAAGGAAATGCAATACTAAAACAAATCTTTATGTGCAAGAGTGAACATACCTATCAGACAGATAAACAGTATACACATGCTAGCTAGCTATGGCAACTCGGGTAATGAATTTGCTAAGATCAGCATAAAGAAAACAGAAGAGCCAATATATTTTTTCAACAGTAATGTTTACTTCAAAATATTAATAATTGTAACTGGAATTATATTTTGTTTACTCTACACATAAGGCAGAATAAAAAGTTCATCTTACTTCAGCATTAGTACTTTATATACAGATGTCTCATAACCAGATAACAGATTTTCACAAGCAGTTAACACATTTAACTGTGTGTATATAGACAATAGGAATATATTTTAATTAATAATAGACAATAATATTACAAAATGTGACATTTATCCTAACAGTAGTAGTGAAAGTAATGATGTGTTAAGGAAACAAATTTAAATCTTAATATTAACTTGAATTTCATTACGCTGAAGAATTTCTTCCCCAAGTCAATACATCATCATTACGCTCATCTCTATTCCATACTTTTAGTTATTGTTGTAGACACAATAATCATTGCTGCATATTACTTCATCACACAATTAGCGCCCAGCTTTTTGAAAACATTTTCCTTATTATTGTAATATTTTCAAATTAATCCTGTGCAGTTTCTTACTCTGTTCACAACAGACATCAATGTGACCCAGAGCTTCTTCCATATAGGCTGCCAACTAAAACAACTATAATTACCTTCCACTTAGTAAATGCACATTTCCATTAAAAATCATGTTTATCACAGCTGCATTGTCAGTTTTGAGGGGCGCATGCTGGACCACTAATGTGACGTGCTGTGCAAAACAGCAGATAATGGCCAAAAAGATTACAAGGGATCATACCCAAGCAGACATTTTAACAACCACGATGATTAACATCACACTGACATTCATGCTGTTAAGCGAAGAACTTGCAAAGACTGGCAAAAAGTCCAGAACGTTCTCCCACATAATATCTGTAAGCTGTCACTGAACACAGTGATTTTGGCTTTTCAACATATTAAGCAAAATTATATGTTGATCTGAAATGTTTTCAATATCAGACAAAGGTTACAAAAGTAGATACTAAATACAGTTTTCTGAGAAGGGGGAGAGGTAATATTGAAATAATCCCGAACAAAGCAGCAAACCTAAAACTAAATAACAGAAAAAGAGCTAAGATGTTGCAATGGGTCAATCAAAGTTCATGCTTTAAATTTACTGGTGCAAGAGTGAAACATGAGAAAACTGTGCAGAAACATATGTCAGTGAACGGGAGCGGTGTTGTAAAGAAATCAAAAATACAACCATGTCCGATGCTTGTTAGGCATTTTTCTGTCTTCTACATTGCCATGGATATTCAAAATATCAGTATTTCTGTAAATTTTTATTATGCTACTATTAAACTCTTGTTGCATCATTTTACAATGACCAACAAAGCAGAAATGTAAAAACAAAAATGCAAATGCCACAAAAATGATTAAAAGAATATCTGTCAAAAATGTTCAGCATCTCAGGTGTGTTCTGTAGTCGGATAAGTCCTGAAATCTATACAGCAATAACTGATTAAAGGACTGAAACTGAATATTCATTAGAGAATGACTTCTCTAGCCCGCTCTATACTGGCTTTACACAATGCACTGGTAACAATTCAATGAAACATGATGTTAAATATGATAATAATAATAATAATAATGATAATATATATATATATATATATATATATATATATATATATATATATATATATATATATATATATATATATATATATAATTATATATTATTATTATATAAATCTTAGCTTTCAAATATATTTTGGCAGGATTTACAGCTACTAAACAGACTGCAATTTGGCAACAAGAAGTGTAAAAAAAATAAATTAAAGGTGTTGTCACATAACAACCACAAGCTGCAATGTTCTGAGGTTACAAAACGAAAAAAAAAAAAAAAAAAAAAAAAAAAGTTTTTTTTGCGATTTCTGAAAAAAAAAATTTTTATTTTTTAAA